ATGTCTGGTTTTATCTGGTAGGCCACAATGCTGGCCTCAAACTCAAAATATTACAATTCAACATTATAATTCCTCTGCGTTTGCTCCAGAGAGGTTCAGATATTGTATTTAGCTTGGAATTTTAAGTCCAAACAATTAGGTTATGCCCTGTTTTCTTTAAAAAAAAAAAGTTGTTCAATAAGATAAAGACAAGGGCAAGCATTGTGTTGCAAAGGGTTCAGCTGGATACAATGCCAGTTTCCCATGTTTCAACACTGGTTCATATCTCTGCTGCTCTACGTCTGAACCAGCTAATGCACTGCTAATGCAGCTCTGAAAACAGGAGAGTGTGACCCAGGGGCTGCAGACCTGCCTCCCTAATTACAGCCAACAGTGTGATCTCCTAAGGGGTACCTTACGCAGGGTGCTGGGGGTAGGAGCCGCGTCTGGAGCATGAATCCAGGCACTCCCAAAAGGAATTCAGTCATCCCCAAATAGCGTCCTAACCACTCGCCTTAATTCTTTCCCTCTTCCTTCTCAAATTAACAAATGTAGGCTGTGTCTGCCTATGGCACTGGAATGCTTTTTCAGAACACTGGTTCAAGTCCCTGCTGCTCTGCTTCTGATTTCACTTTCTGCCGTGGTGTCTGGGAAAATAGCAGAGGGTGGTTCAAATTCTTGGGTCTCTTGTGCCCACATAGGAGGCCTGAATGGTGTACTGGGCTCCTGATTTAGGCCTGGAGCAGTTCCAGCAATTAAAGCCATTTGCGGAGTGATCCAGTAGATTTCTCTTTCTTTCTGTTGCTTTGTTGGTTAACCTGAAAGGTTATCTGAAAACTATTTGGAATATAATTGAAAAACTTTTGAAAGATTATTTGAAAATAAATGAGTCTTTGAAAAAAAACTGTATACTATGTCAGTTAACTATTCCAGAGGATGAACAACACTTAGGACTTTTGTTCTTTTACTTTCGTCATCTCGTTATTCCATAATATTTTAATTGTAATGATTGATTTATCATTAAGAGCATTAATTGATTTGAGATGCTCCATGAGTTCTTCTACATGACAGGAAAGGACTTAAATTTTTTCACTTTGATTTTTGTTCTCTTCAACCTTCAAAGCTGTTTGTAATTTTAAAAATCTTGTGTTGTAGGTGTAATCACATATTTTCGTTTCATCTTTACATAGATATTTAAAAATGTATTTACTTATTTTTACTGGAAAGTCAGATTTACATAGAGGAGAGTCAGAAAGATCCTTCATCCTCTGGCTCACTCCCCAAGTTGTTGCAACAGCTAAAGCTGAGCCAATCTGAGACCAGGAGCTTCTTCTGGTTCTCCCATGTGGGTGCAGGTTCCCGAGGTTTTGAGCCATTCTCTGCTGCTTTAGCAGGCCCCAAGAGCGAGCTGGAAGGGAAGTGGAGCAGCTGGGACATGAACTGGCACTAATATGGGATGTTGGTGCATGCAAGGCAAGAATATAGCCACTAGGCCTTTGTAGTGGGCCCTACATAGATAATTAAATCTGAAAAACAAGTTAAACTCATTATTGAATAATTAGATGAATTACTTAGATGAATTAGATGAATAAAATGAATGAATTAGATGAATGAATTAATGAATAAATTAGATGAATAAGACCAAGTAATTCAATTGACTTCATAGAGGAAATGTAGTCCTTTATTAAAAATTTTGATACTTTGTGAAATTTTACCTGTAATAAGATACATCAAATACTGTAAAATTCTGGCTGCTTTTTGGATTTATATACTATATTCCCTCCTGTGCCAGCTTTCTTCTGTTTCTTTTAATTGATTCCCACTCTTAGTAAATATTTTTCACATCCTATAAATGATTGGAAAATAATCATTAGATGAATGATTATATAGCATCTGAAATCAGCATAGGTTTGAGTCCCAGTTCCAATTCCATTCCTGCTAATGAACATCCATTACCTTTTTCTTCCCATTACCTTTTTGTATCCTGTATTTTTGAAGAAGGTTGGTATTCAGTTTCTACTCCTTTTTAGACGATTAATAATTCTTCCTTTTGGAGCTTTTGGAGGTTTTCTCTTTGTATATGGGATTTAACAAGATTTGTCCAGGTGTGTGCTGCATTTTCTCCTCTTTGTAAATGCTTGGTGTTAGGAGCAATCTGAAGATTATATTCTTTTTTTTTTAATTAATTTTTTTCTCTAGTATTTATTTTTGACCTCTCACTATCCCTGTTCTCCCATTCTGTAATTCCTATTATGAGTCTTGTATTCTCTGGGAATTCTGAATCCCTCTTCATTTTTCTTTCATATTTTCTGTCACATAAATTTTCCATCTTCTTTCTTGGTGTTTGCCTTAACTTTGGCTTTTCTATTTGTTGTCTCAATCTTCATTCACACCTGTTGCTTCAGCCATCCATTCAAATGCCAATTTCTTTTTAAAAATTTCAGCTGTGGTAAAGTAAATTAAGATGCACTGTGATGTGACAGGTTATTGCCACAAGCATCCCATGTGAAAACTGCTTTGAGTCCTGGTACTCCATTCCCGTGCTTCTGGTGGATGAAAGCAGTGCAATATGGCCCAAGTCCTTGGGATCCTGTGCTCGTCTGGGAGATGTGAAAGAGGCTTCTGGCTCCCAGCTTCAGATCAGTCGACTTGTGTCCTTTGCCCCCATTTGTGGGAGTGAACCAGTAATGGAAGACCTTTTCTCTCTGTTTCTTTTCTTCTCTCCTTATTTATTTGAGAGACCCAGAGAAAAAGAAGGAGGGATTGAGAAAGAAATATGCTGATTTGCTTCTTAAGTGCCCAAAATAGCTATGTTAGAGCCAGGTTGAAGCCAGAAGGCAGAGAATGGCAGGAGCCAGAGATTGTAGGCCTGCTTCCACATTTTCCTGGTGTGTCGGCAGAAGCTGTATTGGAAGCAGTATAGCTGGGATTTGAACTGCTACATGGGACATGCTGGCATGCTTCAAGGCTGACTCTAGGAGTCCCTTTTGAGTCCTCCACTCCACTTGTGTGTGTATACCCAGGATAAATGAAAATGGATACACACAAATTTCTACATGAATGTTCATAGTGACTTTTCATATAGTAGACAAAGGTTAGAAGTAACACTGCCGTTCATTGAGAGACAAGTGGATAAACTAAATGTGATCTATTCACATGAGGCAAAAAGATTTGACCACAAAAAGGAATCATATGTTGCTACATGGATATTTATGAAATGTGAAATGTTGCACTACTTGAAAGGATCCAGTCACTAAAGGTTATATAATATTGACTCCTCTTAGTAAATTGTCCAGAATAAGCAAAAATACACAGTAAGAAAATAGATTGATTAATGGTTGTTTAAGGGAAGATAGCTGGAGAATATGAGGTTTTATTTTTGTTTAAATTGCTTGTGTTGGTGATTGTACAACTATGAATACAATTCAGACAGTTGGGTTGTATGCTTTAAATGGATTAATTGTGTGGTATGAAAATGACCATCTTAATAAATTTGTTGCCAAGTTTTTTAAAAAGTAGAGAAGCGAAAAAGGGTAGGGAGATAGGGAGACTTGCCAAAGGAAGGCTTTACCATGACAGATGGGCACACTTAAATGTTACTTTTGTGGTTAAGCTGGAAGTGGTTGGGTAATTACTCTGGTTTTCCAAATCCAGTGCTTAAAGTAATTGCCCTTCCTTTATTGTGCCTCTTATCATTGCTTCGTGAATTCTGTTAGATTTATTTTCTAACAACCTAGGATTTGTTTTTTCTCGATTTTGTAGTCTGTTTGCATCAACATACCTTGCTTTGTGATGATGATATGATTTTGTTCATTTCTAAATACATAAAATGTGATTTTGATATTTCCATAAGATAAGATAGATGGAGGAAATGTGCTTCATCATTAATCTTGAAGTATGAGATACTATAATTTTCATATGTCTTGAACTATATAGAAAATTTTTTTTTAAGATTTATTTATTTTTATTGCAAAGTCAGATATAAAGAGAGGAAGAGAAACAGGGAGGGAGATACTCTGTCCATTGACTCATTCCCCACGTGACTGCAATGGGTAGAGCTGAGCCGATCCGAAGCCAGGATCCAGGAGCTTCTTTCAGGTCTCCCACATGGGTGTATGGTCCCAAAGCTTTGGGCCATCTTAGGCTGCTTTCCTAGGACACAAGCAGGGAGCTGGATGGGAAGCAGGATCACTGAGATTAGAACCAGTGCCCATATGGAATCTCACAATGCAAGGCAAGGACTTTAGCCACTAGGCTACCACGACAGGCTCAAAATTGTTACTTTTAAGAAAAATTTTAGTTTCTGTGGGAAACTTTGTCAATTGCCTGGAATGAAAAGAAAAACATTGAATTGGTGTAAGAAATGAGTAATTGGGCCCGGCGCTATGGCGCAGTGGTTAAGGTCCTCACCTTGAACGTGCTTGGGATCCCTGGCGGCCCTGCTTCCTATCCAGCTCCCTGCTTGTGGCCTGGGAAAGCAGTCAAGGATGGCCCAAAGGTTTATGACCCTGCACCTGCGTGGGAGACCCGGGAGAGGCTCCTGGCTTTGGATTGACATAGCATTGGCTGTTGTGCTCTCTTGGAATGAATCATCGGACGGAAGATCTTTGTCTCTGTCTCTCCTCTCTGTATATCTGCCTTTCAAATAAAAAATTTTTAAAAAATAAAAAAAAATGAGTAATTGTGAGACTTAAATTCTGATTTTGGCTCACTGATTTGATGTATAGGAACTGTCTTTTTGCAATTTAAAATTTTTTATTTCCTGTTTAGGGAAGTAGTCGTAAACTATGATAATTCTGTGTGTTTAAAATTTTCACAGTTATATATTAGTGAATTATATGTTTTTCAAGTTTGGAAATTTAGTATGTTCATCATATAGTATCTTAATTTATTTTGAAATATTCAACTCAATGTAATCCAATGATTTCATTAAGTATGCTTTAAAATACTTCTGGCTAGCAAAACTGCAATTAGACAACTGACAGATGTTAACTCATTTTTCTCCTTTGATTTCTTTATAGGTTTGATGAACTTGTAAAGAAATTCAAGGTGGAGTATCATGCTGGTGGCTCTACCCAGAATTCAATTAAAGTGGCTCAGGTTGGTTAATTATTTTAAAAACAAAAAAGATTAAAAAATGATGATCTTTTATAATTGTCCCAGTCTTCATTTTGTTATTATTTTAATGGCCAGTTCTACAGTTTATAGTAAACTTGATTATCTTTTAATATTTATTTTGCATTTGCTTTTTTCTGAATTATTTGTGTTGTTGCACTAGCTTATAATTTTCCATGTTACTGATTTGTTGAAATTGTAATACCTGTGGATAATATTCCTTCTTAATTATGAAAGTATGTTTTGTTATTTTTCTTTGCTTGTATATTTTCTATATCTTATGCTGTTCTTAAACCATTAAATCCTCATTTTCAATTTTGTAATATTTTAGTAATACACTATTTTTATTTCATAGTTACCATAAGTGATATTTTTGTTATTCAATTTAAATATTCATAGGTGTCCTCATAAAAGACAATATGACATTGGGTTAATGTAACCTTTACTACCTTAATGTAATTAAACCCTATAGCGTATGCTGTTTTTACAGTGTTTAATGCCATCCTACTATAAACTTCTACACATTCCTTTTATGTTATACAAAAATATTAGAATATGCACAATTTTACCAAAATATATTTTGGTCTACGTATCTCTATATACATTTTTTATGCATCAAAATATGTATATACGGGCCCATATATAATATACATGTATGTTTATGTTTACACATATGGACATGTTTATGTTTAAGTTTGAATAAATGTTTTCATTTGCCTATTTGTGCCAACATCCATATTTTCAAACGAGTAATTGAACAAACACAGTTCACTTCCATTCTTGGAGTCGGCCATCTAATCTAATCTTGAGTGAAAGTTTTAGCACTTCTAGTTAAATTTATGAATTTTAAAGATATGCAGAAACTTTCTGTACCTCTGATTCTTATCTCTGCTGTTTGAAAGCTAGCTGCAATCCCCCTTACTGCTCCCATAGGTCAGTTCTGAGGGACTTGAGTCATTTGGCTTTTTCTGTGATTAATGCTTTCCCTTTGAATTCTAATTAACTTCAAGGACTAGAGAAGTGGAAAATTGCCAAATAAAATCCAGACGACTTTTCTTCTTTTGAAATAACTCTTAGTTGATTTAGACATACTGGCTAAGAATTCCACATACTTACGCGGCTCAAATTTACTCTTGACATGAAAATATTTTAAGGTATAAAAATTCATGTTTAAGAAAGTGTTTATTAGGAGGTAGCCTGAGGGGTAGAGCTTGGAGTTTGACAGTTGACTTGCATTGTTTTGTTTTTGTTTTTGTTCTTGCTGTTTTTTAAAACAATCTGCATCTCACTTTGTAACCTCAGGTTAATATAAAAAAGGTTATTTACTTTCTCATTAAATATCGCAGTTGGTCTGCTAAAGCTGCTATGATAGAATACCACAAATTAAGTGACTTAAACAACAGGAATATACTTCCTTACAGTTATGTAAGCTAAAGCTCCAAGAATGTGGTGCTGTCTGGATAGTTTTCTTATGTACTCTGCTTTCTGGCTTATGAGCAGCTGTGTTCTTGTAGTGCTCCTGCATTGCCTTTCTTCTGTACACATCTGGAGGTAAAGCTCTGGTGATTCTTCCCTCTTCTGACGAGGATACTGGTTCTACTGATTATGGCCCCATCCTTATGACTCCAAACCTTCGTGAAATATGGAATTAAAAGATATAAAGTTATCATGGTATAACAATTTTGAAAGCTTGCATGAAGTCTTCAAAATATTTATAGAATATGCATATCATGTAAAAGTATTCATAGACTTCAGGTTTTTTACACTAAAATAATCTTTAAAATGTTTTTGAATTTCTGTGAGAGGCAGACAGAGCCAGGCATTCAGACACAGCCTTATTCTGCTTATTCAACTGTTATATGCTTGTCATTGTACTAAGTAGTAGCTGGTAATTTAAGGCCGTTTTGCCTGAATATTAAACTTAATGTGAAAATTATTTAGTCTGGGGCGATCAATCCTGAAAATAGCCATGATCATTTGCTATGGGTTAAATACAAAAGAATATTGTGGTTAAGTGTAACATTTTCTAAAAGTCTAGGGAAATTCACTGGAAAAGAGGTAACTAAGACTGCTTACCAGAGAGGGTAGATTGTGTGTAAGGGCGGGGATTGAAGGGAATTCAGGTTTGGGCTGTTCTATTATCCATTAAACTGTTCAATCTAGGAAATGACTAAATTCTACATTTCATTTTCTGTACCACTAGAGAACACAGATAATAAATAAGGAATTTTTAACTTATGGTCAAAAATGATCCACTGGTGTGTAACCTGTACATTGTTTTTAAAAGTTTTTAAAAATTATCAGACCCAGCATGGTAGCCTAGAGGCTTAAGTCCTTGCCTTGAATGTGCTGGGATCCAATGTGGGCACAGATTCTACCCCTGGTGGCCCAGCTTCCCATCCAGCTCCCTGCTTGTAGCCTAGGATAGCAGTTGAGGACGGCATAAAGCCTTGGGCCCCTACTCCCATGTGGAGACCTGGAAGAGGCTTCAGGCTCCTGGCTTCATATTGGCTCAGCTTCAGTTGTTCTGGTCACTTGGGGAGTGAATCACCAGACCGAAGATCTTCTTTTTGTCTCTCTTCCTCTCTGTATATCTGACTTTCCAATAAAAATAAGTAAGTTTTCAAAAAAAAGTTTTTCAAGAGTATTAACAATTGATTTTCAAAATATAAATGTATGTTTATATTTTGTAAAAACAGGAGGTTTTGCTTCTTTGTGGAGGCATGTCAGGACCTGAATTTTGAAGTAAAATTTCCCAATTAGGCTAAGGACAGGCTTCCACTTTGAGTAGGTCATGCTTTCTCATTTGCCACATACTGTATACTGTTTATTATTTTCTCAAGTTTGGGTAAGTCTCCCCTGCTTGCCCAAGAATGTGTTGTTTTTAGTAATGAAAGCCTCAAAATCTGGGAAACCCCATCCCTGTGCACTTACTTTAATGATGGATGAAGGAGTTGGCAAAGTAAGAATGTCCACAAAATTAGAGCTGAATGCAGCACAATTGCAGTGTCAGTGTGGTATATTCATTCCTATGACCTCTGATACTGTGATCCGTGATTTGTGGTTTACAACAATGATCATGCATTGTTCCCTCACTGGAAGTGAAGCGAATTAGGCATGTGTGGTAGGGAAAGTAACAGTCTCCCTAGATGCCCATGTCTTAAGTTTGGAACTTGTGAATATGCCTATGTACCATCAGAACCATGCAGATTTGATTAAGATTATGCTTGCTAAAATGTGGAAATGATTCTGGCAGATTGGGATCAACCTAATCACATGCAGACATTAAAGTATATGAAAAAGGAAGACAAATGGATCCAAAATGTTCAGGCATGAAAATAAAATAACTGCTAGACTTGCAGATAGAAGAAGGAGCAATGAGAGTAGTATCTAGTCATTGAAATGCCCTGAGTTGGCAGCAAGAAAATGGGCAGTGACATCAATTTCAGGACTGCTAGGAACTTAATTTAGATAGTAGCCTGAATTACTAAGCAGGAAGTTCTTCCTTTAAATCCTCCCAAGAGGCTAGCAGTCTTGCTGCCACCTTGATTTTTAGTTCACTGACACCCGTGTCACATTTTGACTATAAATATAACAAATCTGTATTGTTCAGGTGGTAGAGTTTTTGTTAAGAAGCTTCAGCAGCAATAGAAGACTGGTATAGTATGCAGCTTCATGCTCTAACTGTGATGGTTTAGTTATTCCTTATCAAGTGAATGTGAACTGTGTACCTAGATGAACTGATTTATTTTTTAACCCCAAATATTATAATTATGATAAGTTCAGATAATCAAGGGAAATTACAGTATAATATTAATACAAATTTTAGTATAATAATAATGGATAGTGTAGTATCAGCACCACTGTAACACTCATTGCCAAAAAGAAGTCCCTGTGAGTATAATGTTTTAATGATTTGAACTCATGTAGCTATATTGTATGCAGAAAATAATTTGGAATGGGACATTTTAGAGAAGGGAATATAAAAACAAATATGAGGAATAATAGGAGATTACTTTTCAATTAGTTATTACTTAGTTGCCCAAAAGGGTAATAAATTTCATTTGAAAATAGTGATGTCTGACTTCACCTTGTCATAACATACAAATGAGCATACATTGCCATATTGTGCCTTTGGTTGATCAATGAAAATAGATTAAAATACATTTCCTCAATCAGAAGTTTCCCCTCTAGTAACCTGTGGGAGGCTCAGAGGATGCTATTGGATAATAGTTATATTGACTTTGTATGGCCTCCCTCATGGTTGTCCCTCTGTGCATATGCACTCCTGATATCTCTCTGTGTCCTCATTTCCTCTGCTGCTAAGGTGACCAGTCACACTGGGTCGGGTCCTACTGCAGTAGATTGAATAACGTAATTGGTTGATGGGCTATTTTTCCAGATACAAGGTACTTTTGAAAAGTTGGTAGGGAATGGAATTAAGTTTGTTTAGCTTGGTGCTTCCTCTTCAAAAAAATTGAGATCTATGCACGGTTTTTCCATAGTGCATGTTTTCCTTGAATTTTCTTTTAAGAAAAACTATGTATATGAAGGGCACAGAGACAGGAATCTTCTATCGACTGTTTCTCCCTAGAAATGGCTATAGCAGCTAGAACTGGCTAAGCTAAAGGCAGAAGGCAGGCACTCTGTCTGGGTCTCCTGTATGGATAGCAGTTGTTGAGGATCTTGTGTGTGTGTGTGAGAGAGAGAGAGGGAGAGAGAATTTTCTCTTGCTCTTTTATGTATAGGTTGATATTTATCATTTTATACCTCTATTTTTCTGTTTTTTTTTCTATTTCTCCTGTAATTGAGCATGTTGTTATACTGTTGTTTCTGTTATTTGGTACTGTCATCTCCAACAGTATGCGTCATAATTACCTATTGTAGCTACCACTATGCATACTTTATAAATCTGGTACGAGTGTTTCTTAAAAATTCTTAAATTTTTCTGAGACGTTGATCACTGTAGACCGAAGGTCCATTTT